CGACCATTCTTCGGCCAGCTGAGCATCTTCGCGTTCGAGTCGACGTACGCGATGGCGCCGCTGGACCGGGAATTTTGCATTCAGGGGCTACTGAAGGATTTGTTTGACGAACGTAGCGTGGTAAAGGCGTTGTAAAAGTAGGTATTATGTTTTTAATCATCCCTTGAAAGAGAGACAAAGCTTAGCCCTGAATGAATTTCAAATTTTCCACGATTGACTCGGCGGCTTGAACGCCCCTGGTACGTACGCCACCATCGCCTTGCTCGCGCCCTCCATGCAATACTGCACCACCTCCAACTTCTCCCCGTCCGGAGTCAGCTTCGCAATCTGCCTCAAGTCACTCGTCCGCGGGAGGAACAGCGCATGGTCCATCGGCATGCACGCCTCGTGCAGCTGCTCCAGGTTATACGGCTCCATCTTGCTCGGGTCGAACACCTCTGCGCTGCGGTACCCCGGCCCGCCCCATGGCGGGCTCGCAAATACGACCGTCTCCTCGAGGGGCACGCGCAGCTCCTCGGCCAGCGCACCGGCGGGGTCCGTCTTCAGCTTGTCGAGGAACTCGAAGCAGTCGCCGTGGACCCAGGTGATGTAGTCTGCAACCTCGTAGAGCTCCGCGTTGTGCTGGGCGCAGGCGAGGGTGGCGGCGTCGCGCTCGATGGAGATGACGCGGTCCCAGCGGCCGGAGGCGGCGAAGGCGATGGTGTTGCCGCCGGCGCCGCCGAAGATGTCGACGAGGAAGCGCTTGGAGGGGTCCGTGTAGGACATGTCGTTTGCGACGGCGTTGGCGACGGGTTCCGGGGTCACGCCGAACCAGGCGTCGTTTGTGAGGTAGACGCCGTCGTCGTACCAGGCGAAGATGGAGCGGCGTTGGGAGAAGTATCTAGGGGACTGCGTTAGTTTTTATGGTTGGACAGAAGAATGGGGGTTGAATACTTTTGGAGGTCCCAGGGCACTTCGGCCTTGGATTCGTAGTGATGGCACTCATCCGTCAGGGGAAGTCTGGCGGCTGCTTTCATTTTGATGGTCATTCATGAAGCACGAGTCTTAGGAAGCACGCAGTATACAACGAAACTTGAAACAAAACTTTTGATGGAGATTATCAAGTGTTGAGGCCAAACATGGCTCTTTTAAAGTACGTTTTGGCCACTGAGGCCGGTGAAGATGAATGAGCGAGGCTGCAGGAAACTGCAGTCTGGAAAATAGGGCCCACATGAGGCGCCCCACTAAAGCGGGAAGAGCTTGGACCATATGTATGCAAGGCTGACGATTGGCTCCGATTCCTGGGATGACAGCTTGCTCCAAGGGGAAATAACACATGGTTCAGAGCTTCAAACACCTGCGCGCGATAACTTTCCACTACTTTGCTAACCGCACTCACCTCAAATTGATACCACCGAATTCCATTAGACGGGATAGCTCAGCTCTACTGCTGGGCGCAATACCATGTTCAATGCGCTGAACCGCTTCATGTCCCGCTTGGACGGGCAACAACCGACCCAGCAGAACAACCAGCAGGGCTCCTTCGGCTTCCAGGTCTTGAGGAACACGAACCTCGAGCTGAACGTGGAGCCTTGGTTTGACTTCATCATTGGAATCAACGGCCGCCCGATTGTAAGTTGAATCCCCCTCCCTTCTACCTCTTTCGCCAAGCTCTCCCTTCAACTACGAAAACAAGACTACTGACACGACAAACCAACAGGACAACCCCGATCCCCGCCTCTTCGCCCAAGAAGTCCGCAACTGCGCCGGCGGCACCGTCCTCCTCGGTCTCTGGTCCGCAAAGGGCCAGCGCACGCGCGAGCTCCACGCCCCCGTCCCGCACGACACCGCCTCCCTCGGGCTCTCCTTACAGTTCACCCCGCTCTCCGTCGCCGCCAACATCTGGCACGTCCTTGACGTCGCCGCAAACTCCCCCGCCGATGCCGCCGGCCTGCTGCCCTATGGCGACTACATTCTCGGCAGCCCCGAGGGCGCCCTGCACGGCGAGGGCGGCCTGAGCGAGCTCGTCGAGGACCACATCGGCCGCCCCCTGCGTCTGTACGTCTACAACAACGAGTACGACGTCACGCGCGAGGTCACGATCCAGCCGAGCCGCGAGTGGGGCGGCGAGGGCGCTCTGGGGTGTGTTTTGGGGTATGGCGCCCTGCACCGCTTGCCGCCGCCGCTGAACGAGCCCGTGAGTGCGCCCGGGGAGATGATGTTTGACGGAGAGAAGGACCCTAGCGGCGGTGCGGCGTACGGTGCGGACGCGGGGCAGGCCTTGTTTACTCCGGCTGCCGCTGGTCTTGGGGCGCCTCCGCCGGCTGATCCTGCCGCGGGAGGAGGGGAGTTTCTCGTGCCGGCGCAGATGGTCGCCGCGGGCAGCGCGCCGCCGCCTCCGCCTGCGGGCACGGCGACGACGAGGAAAAAGAAGGACAGGCACCATGGGGGCAACGCGATGATGGATGATTACTTCAAGGAGCAGGAGAAGAAGAGCAGGGAGCTTGACGGGGTTTCGAGCGGTGGACGTGGGACGCCTGTCGCGCCGCCTCCGAAGACGGGGGGACCGCCGCCGGGGCCGCCTAGGGCTGGGACGACGTCGCCGCCAAAGGAGAAGGAGGAGGGCGGCGAGGAGTGAGATTTCAGGTACAAAAGGTTCGGAGGGAATGGGTGCATAGAAAGTAGAAGTCGCGCAGGTACTTGGCATGATGATTCCCAGAATTGCATTTCTTTGTGCTTTTGTTATACGACGGTCTAACCCCCGGTGCTGTGATGCAACGCCTTGCTTCTGTAATGTACAGTTTGTATTCGTTCGTTTCCCGCATGTTCATGACTATACGGCGGCTCGGCTGGGCGATTCAGGCCTGCCTCTTCTCCTTCTATTTCCCACACGCGTTTTGTCACCCCCTGAGCAACCCCCTTTTGGATACCCATGGTGGTAATGGCAAGTCGATATAGACGCTTAGTTTATGAAGTTGACGCAGAAGAAGTGAAGGATCAAGCTGCATGCGACGTAGTCGGCGAATGCTCTGGATTGCTATTAGTTATGTAGAGTTGCTGGAAGTCGGATAGACTTACCTCTCGGGTGATACAGAGGGGAAGTCGGCCTTGTTGGCCTCGGTGGTCTGGATACGAAGGGAAGCTGGGAGGGTTTGTTAGACCATTGGATCGGGAGCGGGGAGATATCCAATTGACGAACCAGTGAGGACGAATTGTCCAACGGTGGCAGAGAAGCCGGAGAGGAAAGCGTTAAAGGGCTGTTCACACAGATGTTAGCTAGCGTTCCTTGTCCCCAGTTCCCCCAAGTCGATTAACTTCCAAGAATGGCCCCAAGGCCTCTTCAGAAGCACAAGACCGACTCCTTCAAAATCACAAAAGGGGCCTAGACGTACGTAGTTGCCAGCGAGGACGCAGTACAGGAACTGCAGGGCGCCGACGGCGACGAGGAAGACCATGAAGACGTCGATGAGCTTGGTGCGCTGCGGGGTGTTGTTGACATAGTGGTTGTAGATGTTGGCGAGGACCTTGTCCCAGTTCTGGACGCCGCCGGTCGAGATCTTGGTGTTGGGGACGGCCTTGGGCTGAGAGGTCATGGTGCCCGGGATCGCGGCGGCGGCGGTCGGTCCAGCGGGCGCCGAGGGGGGAGCCGGGGCGGGCTCGGCGGCGGCGGCAGCGGCCTTGTTGGCGTTCTTCTTGGGCGCCATTGTTTTTTGGTGTTCTCTCGTGTTTGTCGTTGAAGTCGAGAAGAGGTCGTCCGTAGGGACTGGGGTTCGGTTTCGGGGGTGGGAGGATTCGTCGTGGGATTTTTGGGTCGCGGCGAGTTTCGAGGTTTACGAATGCGCGGCCGCTACGAGTAAAGTGGTCTGGGAGCTGTGCTGGGGGAGCTGTCCTTTCGAGGACACGACAGCTTGAAGCCACGTTATCAGGTGATTGTGGCTAGTACGTCGGCTACCGGCAGGGGGTCAAGCCACGAATCTGGGGAAGTAGCTGGTCCCTTGAGCTGATTAGTCAGATCTTGGTGTGCGGAATGGATGAGATCATCCCCTGAGCTGCACCTGGTGGGTGGGCGGCCGAAAGCTTGGACTCCCGAGGCACCGAACCACATTCGAAGTTTCCCCCATCTTCTGCAGCACCGCGACGAACGATAACTAGCAAGCCATTTTATACTAATTGCTCTCTACGGTTTACGAGATTTTCAATTGCACAGTATTCCGACAGTAAATCAAATAATAGTCGCAATGGTCCGTTGGCTATGTCAGAGCGCAAAGTGGAACGACAGCTGACAATGCGCACAGTCTTCTGACCTCCAGACCCCCTCCTACGTCCTCGCCGTCCTGACTGCCGGGGGCGGCATCGCCGGCTACGCCCGGACGAAGTCCCTCCCCTCAATCATCGCCGGATGCGCCGTTGGCTTCCTCTGTACGATACCTATCTCTCTCCCTCTCCTATTTCGCAATGCCTCCGGGCAGCCGAGAAACACCCTCCGACTAACTCAAGAACAGACGCCCTTGGTGGCTACCGCATTCAGAACCGCGAATCCTACGGCGTCGAGCTGAGCCTGCTCGCCTCCGCAGTCCTCGGTGGCTCCGCCATCCCCCGCGCCATCCGCCTCCGCAAGCCCGTACCGATCGGATTGAGCGTGTTGTCCCTGTTCGGTCTGTTGACCTTTGGCAGGGAGTTCAGTCGTAGCTTGTAAAGCCTTGCGGCGGTGGGAGAGGGATGAAATGGTACACTCTTTGCTTTTCGTTCACACATGGCCAGCCGTAATTGGGCAGAGCAGAGGGATAGAAAACCATCTCTTTCCACCGGGCAGTCCAGCGGCCCCAATCGTATTGTACAACATTACTCCCTGACAGGATGTACCTCTGAACCCAGTTGTCCCGCGCTCTTTTTGTGAATATGCAACCTGTTCCATGACGCCGAGCCCGCAATGAAGTTGTGATTTTCGCCCTGTATCATACAATGCCGCCACTCGTTCCGTCCGACTCGTTCGTTTCGTTCGGGGGTTGTTCGAAGTCAACTTAATCGAGGCCGAGGGACTTGTTCAGCTCCTTGATCCTGTTCTCGCGCTCCTCCCTCTTGGCCCGCGCCGCCGCGCGGTTGGCCTCGGTGCGCCTCGCGCGCGCGCCCTTGAGGCACTGGGTGAGCTTGTCCTTTGCGTCGTTGCAGCCGCCGGTGGCCTTGTGCAGGAAGCCCCTGGCGTGGCATTCTTCCAGGGCGACCATGACGTCTTCGCACTCTGTGTGTTCCAAGAGACTTCTGTCAGCGAATTCAAAATCCTGCATGTTGCAGCCCCGCCGTGGGCTCGCAATCGAATGGTGGCGTGGGGGATGGATCCCGGTGCAGGAGGGGTTCTACTGACCGAAGTTGTCCTTAGTGTGCAGATGGGGATGCATGACGGGCGACTGTACTGAGATTTGGTGACACGAGAATGCGGGACGTTCGGCCGTGAAGAGGGTTTCGTAATTTCTGGCAATGCAAGTCGTGATGCGAATGGCGCAAAAGAAATTCGATATGGAAAAGTGCTAAATGGACGGCGAGGGATTGGATGAGACCACCGTCTAGTGGGGGGCGAGAAGCGGTTGGTTCGCCGCGCCTGGCTTTGATCGATTTTACGGGCGCCGCGCCGTGACCAGGGGGGCGGTGGGCACTGCGGTAAAAGCTCGGACCACTGCCTTCTAGAACTTCCACCGCAGTTGGTGGTAGGGTGACAGGCTCATTTCAGGCCCTCACTCTCGTTGTCTCCCGTCGACGACTCTTTCCTTGTTCATACACGTATACATCGGCCGTCGCGCTGATCGGAAGCTTAGGTCAAGATGTCGGCGCCAGCAGCTAGCCAGCGGAAGCAGCAAGGTCAGTTCCATTTCCACGACGCAGAGGGTGTCCTGAGGCAAAGGCCAATGCATGGCTCCCAGGGTGCTTTGTGAAGCAAATCTCACCCCGCCATCGGCCGTCCAGTACTGAAACTACTACAGATTTGCAAACGCAATATGGCATTTACAAGAACACGCTGCAGCAGATTGCGCAGAAGATCGGTGATGTCGAGCAAGAAGCCGAAGAGCATAAGTGCGTCTTTTCCTCATTCCACTCACCCGCCGTCTTGATGCGATGGTTCCCCCCTGGTGTTCTTCATGACGGCAGGATCGCGGGGCAAGGCAACTACGTCGTCCGGGGGTGTCATGAACTCTCCTTGGAGCCGGGTCCTAGTCGCCACGCACACCGCTCCTCATCAAGACCCCCCCTGAAAGCAACATGACATCTTCACATATCACACCGCTTGTTACATCATGGGACAGACATGAGAGAGAAAGATGGGCAGAAGAGTCATGCTGACGGGGGAGAATACAGGCTCGTACTAGAGACGCTGCAGCCGCTATCCGGGGATCGCAAGGCCTTCCGCCTGATCAACGGAGTGTTGATGGAGCAGACGGTCAAGGAGGTCCTGCCGGCGTTGACAACCAACTCGGAGGGCCTGAAGAAGGTTCTGGAGGACTTGGTCAAGCAGTACAAGACGAAGCAGGATGAGCTGGAGAAGTGGAAGGTATGTTTTTTTGCCTGGCAAGGAGCCATCAGCCCACTTTGGTTCCCTTCGGGTGGGCGACGTCATTGAGGGGCTGTTTGCTGACGGCTTTGGGGTCGCAGAAGAAGAACAATGTCCAGGTTGTCCAGAACTGAGACCCTGAGGATATGCTAGCCGACCGGCGGGCTCTGTAGGTTGGCACTCTGTCTCGGAGGCCTGACGACCGTTCTTTGCCAAAGTCGTGCCCAGGAAGGACTGGTTGTCTCACAGCGGCTCGGGGCATTAGCTCTTCACGTCTGAGCTTCCGATGCTGAGCTGTCGTTGCATGCTACAAGAGACCATGAGATGTGAGATGTCTCGATACGTTTGCAAGATGAAAGAATGAGGCTGCACTACGCTTGTTGCGAGCAAGATTCCGATGAAAACACGACAATTCTCGGGAGAGGTCATCGCGATGGAGGCCGTGTTGGTGGTGTAGTGATAGCAATGCGTTGTACAGCGCCATAGGCACACAGACGCAACAAATACAGCCCGGCGGCAAGGGCGTTTCAGTGCCCAACAGTATTATGTCCCAAAGGTCGTCAGACGAACACACCACCCTACTCGAAGGTGACATACAGGTGGTGGTTGCTATGGCTGGCTGAGAATACCCCGATTGACGAGGCGTGCTGACTGGCTGCGTCCCATGCGGCCCAGTGATGGTGGTGTGGTCAGGTCTTCTGGATGGAACGGCAGTTCGTCAGCTCGGGCAACTAGGTCATCCAGACCTTCCCTTCCGCACGTGAGGGCCGGGTCATGAGAGGACTGCGACGCTGCCGTGTTCTCGTCGGAGGAGCGGGCGGGGGTGGAGGCGACGGACCGGCCCATCCGGCCGAGGCTGCTTTTGCCCGTCGGTAGGTCAGGCGCCGATCAAGACTTAGCCACAGAATGGCGGAGGCATCCGATTCGTAATTGCCGAGAGATGAAACGTGACGGCTGCGATGATGGACTGATTTCATCTTGGATGCTCCCCGGGCGTGATATCATGCGTATTCTGGAAGCCGCGGCTGAGTTCCGTTGCCGGTGCCCAACAGATGGTACGCAGCTTGATGTCTGCGTGAGGGGCTAGATGTGGGAGGCATCCCGTGGGCTACATTCACCCCGCCTATTCACGGTACGATTTAGTGAGATGCATCCTGCAAGTAAAATAGCAACCGTGTTAGAGAGTGGGCTGTCCGTATTTTTGGATTGCCTGTTATGGCCAAAGTCGCGGACGGACCGCATCGAAGACTGCTCGTCTGGCTGGCAAGATCCCACCTCCATGGCGCGCCCGGCATCGCCTGTGACGGTAGATGTGTATCATGCCTAGCGAGATGCTCCAAGATGCAATAGGAATTGTTCCATTTTCTCGCATGTCATGACGATGAAGCCGTCAGGCAGTCATCGTTTGAGAACAGGCAGGGCGAGGCACACCGGTTGCATCTCGGCGACGTTGTGGACGACCGGGGGTTGTAGAAATGTGGCTCTGAGTTGTCAATGTCTCCAGGATGAGAGAAGCGCAGCCAACTCATGCAACCATTACGGCTGTGACAGAGTCGAATTCACCCGCATAGGCGAGGGAAGACCGAATGTGGTACCCCTCTCGAGAGCGACAAAAAAAAAAAAGCCGTTGGAGGAGGGGTGGAAACCGCATCATCCGGACAAGGGTTGTGGAAAACTAGAGAAGAAATCAGTGCATCGGATATGATGGTCTTTTTAGATAGATGCGGAACGCAGACGCAGATGATGCTGCCAAAGTCGTCCAATCCCAGCCCAACCCAATTAGAGGGCTATTGGCTCCCGACAGAATTAAAGGAGCCCAACCATAGTCGTCGCAGTGCCTAGTGACTGCGGTGGACGACTGGCTGGGCCGGGCGGGTTGTCTGTCTGTCCATTACTGCATGCAGGGTCAGACGTAAGGCGATGGGCCGCCGATAGGTGACCGGCGCTTCGCCGCGGGCATTGGAAGAATTTCTCCGTGTTGTCGTTGGCACAAACGGCCACAGACTGAAGGGCTTCTGACGTATCTGGGGGATTTTGTGCCAATCAAGAAAACAGGAAGCTATCGGTATTTTTTCATTGGCCGAGAATGCTCGAATCGAGCTTGTGTCACGCAGCCTCGCGCCCAAGCTCCAAGCTCCAAGCTTCAAGCTTCAAGCTCCCTCCTTTGCCCGTTGGAGGAGCGGTTTTGACTGCCGTACCTTGGCCAAGATGGGTGGCAGGTACTTCGCAGGCAGGCTGCCGCCAACCAAGGCGCAGGTTTCGGCCCAAACGGTCGGCCGTCGTCATTCGGGGCGCTTCCTTAGGCTGCTGTCAGCCTCCCCCGTGCCTGACTGTGCCGGTTAGGTTGGGGGCGGACTTGAGGACGACAGGTGACAGGCTCGATGGCTTGTTTACTCTGGATGGTGCCATTGTCAAATCAAGCGGCGCCGTCGCCCTCCATTTCGATCTCATCGCGACGGCGGATGGATAGCCCAATCTGCTAAAACGTCGCACGGCCGAAGAGGAAGAGGCGCGTCGACGGAACAGCTTCTGCTTGCGATGAGAGCTGCATCGCTTTGCTGCGTCGACGACGCCCGTCGCGGGTGAGGACCAAAGGACGGGGCATCAAATTCCACCTTCAATCCCGTCAGCAAGTCTGCAGGAAGCAGGAACTTGCGTCGACGTCCCCGTCCTGTCCGTCGTACTGCTTTGCATGTCCTGCTTGGCATCCGCCCGCCGGTGTAAGGCAAGGTAGCCGTGTTTGCTACCCTCCTCCGAGCTTAGTGGCTTCGTGCTGTCTACACCGCTCATATACCAGAGCATGGGCAGGATAGAAAGAGTCCGTGTTGATACAGCATTAAATGCATGCAATGACACATCAAATTTTGCTAGGCGGGAGTGTCGGTACAAGACGGCGGGCAGTGGCAGTCTCTTCTTGGTCGTCTCTTGGGAATCCCCTCGCGCATCGTCAAGGCGCCAGTGTGGTGGTTCGTCTTTGCTTGAGCTTTCGTCTGACAGCAACAGCAGGGCCCAGATCCAAGTATGTCGTCAGACACCCGACGGCCGAGGGACATCCGAGCGCGCAAGAGATATGGAGAATGCGAAGTCGCAGCAGCAGCGCATCTTCTCAGCCGCGTTGTTAGGGAGGAGGATCGGATGATGGGGGGCTGGAGGTACCGCGCTAATCCTTGGACGGGACAGTGGTGCTGACAGGTACCTCAATCTTTGGTGGTAGGGCTCAGCCCGGGCAAGTACCGCCCATGTTATCGATAAAACGGGTGGTGGGCTTCGCGACCTGGGAGGACATGGACATTGTTATTGTGTTTAATGCGCTGGAGGTCTTGTTGACCGCACCTTCTTGCCCACTCTCCTCCATTTCTCCCTTCTGCACCAACTGCGAACCCCACGTTCTTGCAGCCATCAACACGTACAGGTGCATCCGCCAGAAACCAGGCGCATTGTTAGGCTCTATTGCGACCTCGATCGAACAACTCATACACCCTGAATCTTGTAAGGAACAAACCAAAAACTTTCCAGACCCTGTCGAACGGCACTTGACCTGGGGCCCCCCCTCCTCCAGTCCAGTGCCCTCACGTTGCCCCATCTCCATACACACCAGCAGCCACGCGCCGTCGCCCTTCTCTGCTTGTTCCTCTCCCACCAGTCGCTGTCGCACTCCCACTCCCGTCACTCCCTATCCTGTTCGGGCCAAGCGAAGCTTTCTCTGACGCGACTTTGCAGCTGTTACTTCTCGAGCCCGCTACCTACGGCTGTCCCGTCCGATAGCCCGGTGTGTAACCACAGGTCGACTCTTGCGCGCCCAAAGCTCCGCCAAAGTCACGACGACTACGGACTACAAGCATCTCTACTGGTACCAGACCGGCTGCCCACGCGCCTCCTCGACGCAGCACTCCGCATCGCCTTCTACCAGGAACAAAGTACCGTATTCTCGCCTCGGGGCTGCTGATTCGACCTGACCTCACCCCCCCCATTTGCGACTCGCGAACCCAGTCTCCTCTTCTCTCTACACCAACCCAACGGGTCAAATCCGCGCGCCGAATTTCGAGCACCAACCCGGAGGAGCGCGTATACCCACAGCTGCAGCAGGGCGATCACGAAGCATCAACGCTACCCTCTTTCGGACTCAATAGGACAGCCGTTCCTGTGGGACCCGCAGACGCAGCCACCCTCTTCCCGCTTTTTTCCCAGTCTCTGTTCCCAAGTCTGCCAGGTCAAGGCAGCAGACAGGCCAACCCCAGGACGATCCGTCATAGCCTGAAGTCAAGACAGGGCCTGCCAGGGGATCGCGAGTAAAAATAATCCATCCCAAGGACAAGCCGAGGGGTCCAGGGCAGGATTGACGCACGCTTCTGCAGCTAAGCCGCGAGACTTGCAAGCCCTACGGTCCTGCAACGTGTCAGGGGACACATCATCCCAAGCCCGTGTGTGCGAGCTGCAAGAACCCAAGCAAATTACAAGAACGCCAGCAGCCGCTGCAGGTAGCCAAATATGTCGGACTCCCCCCAATCTCCTCCCAAGGATGTCGAGCAAGGTGTACAATCACCGGAAGAGGAACAAATGAACGAGCCTCAAGACCCACAGTCCGGTGGCCTGGCCTACGCCGAGTTCGAGGTCAAGGAACAGGACCGCTGGTTGCCCATAGCCAATGGTAAGCCATATTCCCCTTTCTCACTGACGACGACGACGACGATGTTTGGACTTTTGGTTCGTATGCGCCAGCAAACTCCGTGAACGGTGTCTTTCGACTGGATTGGATTGTCTGCGTGCTGTTCGCTTGTCTGGTTTCCGTTGCTGTTCGTGTTTGAGGCGCGAAGGTTCAGACGGTTGTTTTGCGCTCTCGAGTCGTCATGTCTCACGATTCGTCGCCAAAGTCCCCCGAAGCAACAGGCGCTTCTAGTGGCGAAAAATATGATGAGCTTGACGCTAACATACGAAACTTTGCTCCAGTCGCCCGCATTATGAAGAATGCTCTTCCCGAGAATGCAAAGATTGCGAAAGAAGCGAAGGAATGCATGCAAGAATGCGTCAGCGAGTTCATCTCATTCATCACCAGTGAAGGTAAGCTTGTTTGCTCCACAGTTGCTCCCCCTTAGCCAGCAAGGATTTTCGCAGAAGAGAAACCTGACCTATCACAGCATCGGAGAAGTGCCACCAAGAGAAGCGCAAGACGGTCAACGGTGAAGACATCCTGTTCGCCATGACATCTCTGGGCTTCGAGAACTACGCCGAGGCACTTAAGATCTACCTTTCGAAGTATCGGGAAGTACGTATAGCCATGATATGACACTGCCACACGTTGTGTGCGTCAACTTTGCAATTGGAGCCTGACTGACGGAATCAGCAGCAATCCCAGTCCAACAGAGGAGAGAGCTCCCACCGCCCCGGTAGCAGCGGATACGGCGCTAACCCGCCAGCCGGCGCCGGAAGCTTCCAGGCTGAGCCTCAGAATAACGTTCTCGGAGCTCAGCAGGGTGACGGCAGTGCCGACCCGAACTACATGTACGGCGCTCAGACCGGACACAACGGCACGGGTGGCGCGGACGGCTACTAGTCTGTTCTGCGTGAACTTCTGCGGTTGTGGCAGTGTATTGTGTTAGGATTGCAGACACCCTTTTTACTCTCGACATATATGTACAGGTTGCGACTTGAGAACGTACAAGCCCGGCCAAAGACGATACCTGGACATACGTGCAAGTGTGTATAAGTACAGGGCCGGGAAGTGTTCTATTATCATTGAAAAAGGTACGGCGGGGCATACAGGTGTATATGAGGGGCCCCAGGAGTCACGTCGAGTCACGTCAAGGTCGGAGAGCAGCAAGGTTTACCCAAAAGGGCGTCGACTGGACAGGAATATCTTCTTTCCTTTGAACAATTGGCTGTTGATAGATTCCCCCTTTTCGCGTTGCGATTCAGTCAGCCATGTCAGACCCAGGAGTGGTCTTACGGCATTGGCAGAGAGCAGTTCAGCAAGCATTCGAGCTAACGGAACAGACCCGGGCCGTGTTTCCTTAGCAGATAGCTCCAGCACTCTAGATAGCTTCTAATTCCAGTCCCATTCTGTCGCGCAATCACTTTTTTGGCGTAGATTCTTGCCACTTTGGAATGGGGACTCATTATGACTCTCAACCATGAATGACATACGACGAGCTTCATGATTTGCGGATCTAACGATCCATATGCTTTATTCGACTTACACAACGGCTTAGCAGGCAACTGTTGCAACATGTCCAATAAGAGAAGACTATGTCAACAATTCCCCAGCTTCTCATCAGCCACTTAAAAGTGTAAGGCTCCTGTGACGAAAGGTGCACGGTCCAAGAACCACTCCAGGGGTCTTGAGTGCGGCATTGGGCACGTGCGCAGCCCCTCCAGTCTCAAAATTTTATCCAGCCAGTGGATGCAAGGCCCAAACAAATCCGTGCCGCCGCCTACCTAGCAAAAAAAAAAAAGTGATGGGCAGCCTTTGACCTATCACCAAACTTTCCAGGCAACAAACCGCCGAAACGATCTCTCGGTCGGCCGCCACCTCAATCCAGCAACATCTCGAGGACAATAGACGCCCCGACGCTGCTTTCACAAAAAAACCAGATATGCATGACGTGTTTCTGCGAATCCTTGCGCAACACATCTACCAGTCTATGAGAAAAGCCCGACACCGTGCCGCCACTCTGCGAGTTTCCCTTCCAAGCGCCTGAAAACGAGCCTTGACCACCACGCACGACTATCTCCATGCGACCCTTCACCCCCATTTCCAGACATCGGTCTGGCCCGCCACCGAGAACAGCGACGCCTATTAAGAGTATTTTGCGTCCTTCCGTGCTGGGCCGCCGGAAAGCAGACGATGCGGGGCTTGATTCGGTCGCAGCCGACCCTCCCTCCAGCCCGACCAAGCGGAGAAAGGTCTTCATCAACGAGATGAACAACCGCGTTTTCGAGTTCGGCGGTCGGTCGATGGACGAGGTAAACGCGGAAGTCCGGAAAGCTCTCGAGGAGCACCTCATGGGGGAGGACGAGGAATACGACAATCTGAAGGAGATCTTTGCCAATGATAAGCAGCGATACTTGCCGCCTGTCGCTGGGGAAGACGAGGATACCCTCAAGCCCCAGGAGCTCAAGTGCTACGTTCTGGCGCTCACTAGCTGCGTCCCTCTCTTGAAGAACAAGGCCTGCAATGGCCTCGTGAGAACCGTTCTCCAAGTCTCTTGGCTCGGCCGAGACGAAGACTTCTTCAAGGTCTACATCCAGTTCCTGGCTGCCCTCATTAGCGCTCAGGGGTCCTATCTGACGCATGTGTTGTCCATGATTGTCGAGAAATTCTGCCACTCCAGGCAGTCCGAATGGGGCGTTGCCGACTTTCCTCCTGTCAGCCGCTCCACCATGCGCGAACGTCTGCACACCGGTCTGCAGTACCTCCTTCAGATGTTCGCGGCCGCCACCCCCGTTCTCCGCAACTTGCTCGACACCAAGTTTCCCTTCGATGACGACCCGAAGAGGATGTTCGTTTCCTACGTCATCAACCTACTGAAGCTCTCTGACTACGCCGGAGAGCTGGACCTTGACATTATCGACGTGCTCCTCTCGCGTCTAGTCAAGATCGATGTCCAGATGCAGACGGATCTTGACGACCTCGACGACGACCTCACGGCATCGGTTGCATACGCGCTTGGAAAGTCACTAAACACTGGGTCGTGGGAAGGCGATGAAGAAGCCGAGGAGGAGGACAGCGACGACGAGTCCGTCGACAGTGATGATTCGGATTTTGACGATAAGGAAGAAAAGGTCCGCGTTGTTAAGGGCAACGTCGAGAAGCTGGACGCTATCCTTGATACGCTCTTCGATCACTACACACCTCTCTTCGAGAACCCCGACTCAGACGAGGCATGGGGCCGCTATGCCCTGTTGGTGCAGTCTTTCGGAAAGATTGTTCTGCCAACATACAAGTCTCGCCACACACAATTCCTCCTCTTTCACTTCGGCCAGATGTCGGCACGTCTGCGCGATACCTTCGTTGGCAGCTTGATGCACATCTTTGGCTCCCAAAACCGACCGAGCTTCGTACGACAGGCAGCGGCTACATACCTGGCGGGTTTCATGGCAAGAGGCGCTCACGTCCCGCCTGACCTGGTCCGCACCGTCTTCGCCCTCCTGCTCAAGCAGATGCAAATCTACCGCGTGAAGCACGACCCTGACGCGAGAGGACCTGATCTGCGACGACACCAAATTTATTATGCGCAAGTCCAAGCTGCGCTCTACATGTTCTGCTTCCGCTGGCGCGACCTGATCGTGGATACGCCCGAGTTTGTCGACCGCGACGACCCCGCATCATACCTTGGCAACGAGCTGGAGTGGATGCAAGGGATGAGGGAGGAGCTTTCGGCGAGTGTGTACTGCAAGATGAACCCGCTGAAGATCTGCGCGCCCGCGATCGTCGAAGAATTCGCGACACTGGCCCACAAGCTCGGCCTGATGTATATCTTCCCGCGTTTGGAGGAGAACAAGCGCATCAGGCTGTCGCAGTTTGTGTCGGACACGTACGGCACAGGAGGCGCTCTCCGGGACACAGGCTCCGGAGCACAGGACGAGGAGTCGTACCAGCTCGACCCTTACTTTCCCTTTGACCCTTACCAGCTGCCTGTAAGCAAGCGCTGGATCCAGGGAGACTACGTACAATACCAAGCTATCCCGGGTCTGAATATGGAGGCTGGCGACGATGATAGTGATGAGGAGGAGGACGATGTTCCCGAGACAGATGTGGAGGAAGACACAGCTACGGCCAGCGAGGACGAAGACGACGATTGAGGACTCATAATGGGGACACTCGAAGGATGCATCAAATACGGCGTTGGGCGGCAAAACAAAAAGCGATTTCGGGCCAATTTGGCAGTGGAGATATGATTCCCGCAAGGCGTTGGGCGTGTGTTTAGGTCATGTCGTTTGACGAGAAGACAGATGAAGGGAGATGTCAAATGAGCATTTCAGCCTCTCTCTCATCGGAGATCCGCAAGGAGAGTCAGAGTAGCAGTCGATGTACACGAGGCCATCTCGTATTTGAAAAATGAAGAGTCATTTCAAAAACAATCCATCTTACCGGGTGCCAATATTCAGCAGTGTCTCCTCTAGCGAACGTTGGCTGAGGCAGTGATATGGCTGGAACTCCTTCCCCCGTGTTCATTGACAAATCGAAGAAATTGTCATCCATGGACATTTGAGGCGGAAAAGGGATAAAGTGTCCGGTCCATCAAATGCAAATCTCCAAAGCTGAGCTTACACACTTACGCTACACGCTACACACTACACTGCACTGCAACCGCGACACTGCAGCTCTGCCGCCCAAGGCACGTGAGATCAGCCCCAGCGCCCTTCTTTTCGGGGAGGTGCTTTGGAGTCGCACGACGCTTCTCTACAACTGGATAAGCGCCCTTTGGCAGCCCTTCCTCCCCTGGTCTGGTCTCTCCTCTTTCCGCCCCTTGAAGCAGGACACAGCCAGCCCCCGGACGTCAAGCCAAACCCTGATGTCAAGCAAGCGCCGACAGGCACCACATTCCCCCCTCCCCTCCCCTCCCCTCCCCGTCTCCCGTCGGATCGTTATGACTGAGGGTACATTGGGTGGGCTCCTAGGTACTGCTAACTCCTCTTGCCATCCCACGCAGCGACAGCGGCAGCGGCAGCAGTAGCAGAAAAAAAAAAAAAAAAAAAAAAAGGCGAGTGAGGGTCCTCCTCCCCAGTGGCGTGCGGAGAGAGGATGGGAATTTGGAATCGCCTATTTCTCTTAAGTCTTTGCGATTTCCCCATTCCAACGCTTCTGCCTTTTTCGTCCCGCCCCGCGTGGAGATTTTTCTTCGTCTAGACAAGAGGACGGATTCAGCGGAACAGCATATCTAGACGGACCATTTGCTGCTCTTATCATTCGTTTCCATATCTCCGGGTCCAATCGCCGGTTCTTAAAACAAACGACTCCTCTCACCGTCTTTTTCTGTGGGCGCCATCTCTCGCACTCCTCCGCCCGGACCGACCTTCTCTTTTGGAGCTGTTTGATTCCTCATCAGACATTTCGGTGAGCGGTTATGGCGGATCATCAGCAGGTGCGGCTGTCGAATGAGGCTGCTGCGGCGGCATCGGCGGCATCGGCGGCGGGGGAGGGGCAGCGGCAAGACAGGGGCGGCAGCAACGTTGACAACAACAACTTCAATCGGCCCTCCTTCTCGGATTACTGGCAGGGCGAGAAGGACAGTGAGAGGGCGGGACGGGTGCAGTTCGTGACTGAGGGGCCGCCGCCGGGCACGTCGGGTCCCTCTTCGTCGGCGGCGGCGGTGACGGCGACCAGCACGAGCAGTGCTTCTCCGCAGCCGCTGGACCAGCGGCGACAGGGTTCATGTGAGTTCCGATTTATTTCGTGCAGACTTTGTCCCCCTTTTCGGGTATCAAGATTCCATCATCCATTCTCATTCGCGGCTCTTCCCTGATTCGATGGGGGTTTTTGCTTGATGCCGCGTTGCTGGGATTCTCTGGCGATCATCTCACCTTTTCCACGGCGCTGCATGTCGACCTTTTTTGTGTCTTACTGCATTGGAATACAGTAATTGATTTGTCACGGCCGAGCGGTCGAGAGTGGGCAAGCAGGGGTCTTTGCTTTTTTGATTCGATCGTATTGTCTTCTGGGTCTGGCTGTTGCAATGATTCCTCATCGCAGCCAGCACGGGTGGCGTCTTTCCCGCCGCTAAGAGGCGAGATGGCGTGGTTGCGTTGGGAATCTTTTGGAGGCGCGCGCGTGTGTGTGCGCTTTTCCCCTCCCCCAGCGGACCTCGCGAACGATGAAGTGCACCAGTGTGTGTGTGAGTGTCTGTGGTGTGTTGCGTGTCCCTGCATTCCCAGCCCGGCTTTTGATTCCAAGGTGTGGTCCCCTACCACCAGACGACCGGTTTTGCTGCACCCCCGATGCGTACACCGCTACCGGGTTTGCGAAGATCTCGGTCTGAACCCCTTCCTTGGCTTCTGGAATCAGACTTGCTGGATTCGGAAGTCTGCTGGCTCTGCTTCCCGCATTATGTGTGGGCACACACCCACTTTGGCACTTACACCAAAGATTCCATCGAACCACGAGTCGCGAACCCCCATGTCTCATTACCTTTGTTTTACGTTCTGGAGATGTCGTTCCGTTTCATTACATCCTCCTTGATAATTTCAGAACCCTTGATATTCTCGTCGAATTATCATTATATAAGACGACATTACTAAACGCAAAAGAGAGCGAGCAAGCAAGCTAACCTCACCATTTGCAAACCAGTTGAGTCTGCCACCGCGGACCACGCGAAAGAAAAGGCGAAACTTCGACGGCAACAAGTCCGCAAGGCGCAGATTCAGCACCGCACGCGCAAGGCAAACTACATCAAGCAGCTCGAGCTCGACGTGTGCAAGTTCCGGGACATGATCGCCGCCGCAGAGAAGGAGGTGCTTGCATACCGCCGGGACAACGAGGGCATGAAGGGCGCGCTGAGGGCCAGGGGGCTGAGGGTTCCCGAGGAGCTGAAGGGCAAGGAGAAGGACGTCCTCGTTAGCGAGGTCAGGATCGCCGCCGCGGAGGAGACACCGGTGGAGGAGCCGTCGTACGAGGAGGTGATGCAGCAGCCTGTGGAGGTTCACCCGTGCCAGCCGCAGCACTCCCACGTCCCCGCGCCGCCGCCGCAGCAACAACAACAGTTCCAGCAGGAGCAGACGGATACGCAGGTGTTCAGCGCGGAAGAGGAGCAGATGTTGCCGGAGGATGTGTCGATGGCGCAGCCGTTGGATTACGACCCGTATCCGCCTGCCGATTTGTTCGGAAACGTCGACATGGGCGACATTACCGTCACGATGAGCAAGGACGCTACGCTTGGCACGCCGTGCTTCCAAATCAGCTCGTCGTCCACTAGCAGCAGTTCCTCAACACCGTTGCGACCTGCTACGCCGGATCAGCTGTCTCCTGAGCAGGAGATAATCGCCATCAACCTCATCCTTGCGTAAGTCTCTTCAGCGCCCCCTCAAACAAACCTACAGAGGTTTTGCAGATCCGTTATATGCTAACGTCGATCCAACAGGATGGAACATATCTGTTGGGACCACTTCCACCCGCGCCAGTACCCGCGCCACGCCGACGTGACCAAGGCCGCCTCGGGCCACACGATGATGGCTTCGACAATGTGCATGTCTTCCGCGCCGGAGCGCGTGTACCGCTCCATCCGCCGGCGTGAGGTCGAGACGCAGCACACGTGGCACGCGCACTTGGGCGCCGGCAGCTCGCTGACGCTGCGGTCACTGCTGTCGCTGGCCAAGACGCTGAACCCGGGCGACATCGAGCTGACGCCGGTGCAGGCGTGGTTCGAGCTCGCGGCGCGGTACGGCGCGCAGGCGCTGATGCAGGAACCCGTTATCGAGGCGCTCAAGAGAGAGTTCTGCGGTGTGGTGGACTGCATCCACTTCGGGGCCATTATCGAGCGGGACGCCTTTGAGAGCGTTGTGGCGAGGGTTATGACTGAGGTTGGGGTGCCTGAGCTGCCGTGGGAGGGGATGGATGTCGATGTCGGCGGCGGCGGCGGGCCGGGGATGGCTGTTGGAGTTCCGCAGATTGCTGCTTAAAAGCGGCAGAATGGGATTGAAGGTATGATTTTGGTGCATCCACGGGAAAAGCAGGCCGGTTGATGGGATGTTGCTATCGGATTTATACAAGAGATGTTTGGCATTGATCTATGGTTGGTAAAGGATGAGGAGGCGACGATTTTCACGACAGTTACGACGATATCACGGGAGAAAGCATCTATGGTCCAGAAAAAACAACCATGCATGCGGAGAGAAAGAATAGCATGGAGAGATATATTGGAAAAGAATCACAACATGACAGACATATGCCAATTCCCCGGGACTTGAGAAAACGTTCTTTCGGAGGCGGGCATGCAGACCGAGAGACATTCCACATTTGGCAGCTGCGTCGCCCATGCAGCCTCGTCTGTCTTGTTCAACCAACGTTAGTCTCCCATTCGCCATGTTGTTTCCTCGGACTCCACATCAGAACGTAAAGGGACAACCTCGCCGTTGGACTGCATATGCATGTTTGGTCCTGGCGGTGCTTTTCTGGATATGGATCTGTGATCTCTCGCCCCTCTCCTTGGGTCATGAAGGAGGGGTCGTCTGTTCCGGGTTGCCTGTTGTCGCACAATCCCCCCCCGCGAGTCTTTCTCTTTCTGTCCAACATCTCGACTTTTTCTCAACTTTCTCAACTTTGCCGGTCCAAATCGGCACCGAAACTCGATTCCAGTCCGATCTGTTGTCGCAGTGTCAGGGTCGTTTCTACGGAACAAACGATGGCTCAGGTCGATCACGAAATTCAAATCGGAGCCGAGGATAATGTGAGTCTTCGCCAAGACTGCCATGGCACCATTGCGTCTTTCTTCTCAATCGTTGCTGACTTTCCACGCAGAACCCGGTTGAAGACGGTGCTGAGGTCCAGGTGGGTTCTAGGCCGCGCACCTGACATCGTTCTGAATCTGATAAATGGCGTACGCGCGTAGAGCATCGCCTCCTCGCGCACCAGCCTTTCTGAGTCTCTTCGCGACTATCACTTCGAGAATGGCAGAACCTATCACCGCTACAAGGAGGGCAGTGAGTCCTCCGCCTCAGTTGTTGACTACACCGTGTACCGCTGCTGACTTGGACAAGAATATCATTTTCCGAATGATGAAAAGGAGAATGACAGACTAGGTACGTAAGCTTTATGGTCTTCTCCTCACAGATCACTGGCCCGCTAGTTCCATCTTCTACGGCTTTCGCATTTCTCCTAGCATTCAGTTTTCTGACCTTGATGACAGACCTGCAACATCACTTAGCGCTTCTGACTCTGGGCGGCAAGCTTGGCCTCGCACCACCGTGTGACCCAGAGTACAAGGTCCAGAGAGCTCTTGACATCGGCACCGGCACCGGTATCTGGGCTATCCAGTACGCAGATGACCACCCCGAGGCTGAGGTAAGTTCAGAAGACAGCTGTATGGCCTCATGAGGACAAACTTTGATTGCATGGGTTCAGGTCCTTGGTGTCGACTTGTCTCCCACGCAACCTGACTTGTAAGTGTTTCTTGCATGCGATCTTAAGTGGCGCAACCACTCGTATTATACAAACCAAGATTCTTATATTTACATCCAGCGTGGCCCCAAACGTCAAGTTCGAGGTTGACGACATCGAAGACGAATGGACTTACTCCAAGCCATTCGAGTACATTCACAGCCGTCACATGACGTCGAGTCTCGCCGACTGGAAAGCGTACATAACTAATTGCTACAAGTAATATCTCCGCCTTTTGAGTCTTTACTCCGCTGATATTTCTGCTTCCACCACTCCGACTCAAACTTGATGTCGTCGATGAGAGAGCTCTTCACTAAGACATCTGCAGCAACATCACACCAGGCGGTTATCTCGAGCTTCAAGAAGCCGAAATGGCATTCCTGTCCGATGACGACACATTGCCAGCCGATTCCGCACTAGTGCGGTTCGCTGAGCTTCTCAGAGGTGCAGGTGCCAAGTTTGGTCGCAATTTCGTCGTGGCTAGCGAACTGAAGGAGCTCATGATTGACATCGGTTTTGAGAATGTTACACTGAGCAAGTATAAGTGGCCTCTCGGGACGTGGCCTAAGGATCCCCATTTCAAGGAGCTTGGCATGTTCAACCACGAGAACGCAATGATGGCCGCGGATGGGTTGGCTATGGCGCCTTTGACCCGGGCGTACGAATGGACGCGCGACGAAGTTGAGGTGTTTCTGGTCGATGTGCGGAAGGACCTCAAGAACAGGGCGTATCATGCCTATGTGCCCATGTGAGTTTGGCTGATGGGCTTCAACTGGCGATCTCGTGATTTGATGCTAATGGGTTATTTAAGGTACTTTTTGGTGGGACGCAAGCCGGGGACGGCAGATAAGGATGATTCTGCACAGGATGGGACCCAAGCTGCGGCTTAAGCACCATAGGAGACTACGACGCAGAGTCCGGCTCCACCTCCGTCTGGATCGAATGCTTAAGAACGAGAATAATCGGAAAACTTACAGTCAATCATTGTTGGAAAAGACAGGGGCCGTCACTATGAATAAGCTAGCTGGAACCTTTGAATACATTCTTGAACCGTCTATGACTCATTCATCCGCCATCTTCAACCAAATACCTTCTGAGATGAACCTGCAGCTGTTTGGGGGTTAGTTTTGTGACACAAGCGCATTATCGGCATCCAGATCGAACGTGGACCACTGTAGACCTTCAGATTCATTCATGTTTTCTACAACGGCCATGCGTGGAGAAGGACGGAGGACAGAGCGTGAGTGACATATTCGAAGACGGAGCTGTGCGTTGAAGTTGTACGGGTTTTGAGAAGATCTCTCAGAGCGTTTTGCATTATCTTAGCCTTCGACCGTGACATCGTCTTGCGCGATCCAACGTCAAGATAGGCCTACAGGTTTTGCCTGTGGATTGCTCGCTCGGCACTGTCGAAGAAAAGTTATGTCTATGCATCTGTTGATGCTATATAATTGTGTTCTAGTTGAAGTTGTCGGGCTATCTCAATCCGCTCGAGGAGCCTTTGGTAATGATACGTCAAGGTTATGCCTTTGTTGGTCTAATTACTGAAATACACCACTGATTATTGAATATAGATATTGATTGGTACTTTCAAGGGGCCTAAAATCACATTCTGAGTTTCATAGTTCTTCTTTGGTCGACCTTGTATTGTGGCCCTGAATAAGTGCGGGATGGTACACATGGGGTGTAAGTCATTGAACGAATCTTGATCTCGTCGGCCGTCTTGGGCTACGCGTAGCTCGTGATCGCCATATGAATGAGACTGGCCAATAGAAGTTCATGCGTTCTCATTTAGCTGCTGAGAGACCTGATGTGTGCTGAGTTGAGGTTTTATGATCCGCGAATCCTTGGTGCGCGCACCCTGCCTTCAACCCGCCGAGTCCTACTTCATTGCCACGCATTGCAGTGCAATATAAGTATCAGTACCAAAAGAACAATTCTTCTTTTCACGGTCAATGAGCAGAATTTTTCAGAGTATGGATGTGGAAGTTTGCGGCTTGCAACGCTTGAAATATAGCATCACACAGAGGTTTATATTTACCCAGGGCACATGAAATTTTCTTGAGAGGGCGATGCCTGGTTATCGTGCGTTGACTCTGATTGAATACATCCAGAGCAAGGACGTTGATGAGAGAAGGGATTACTCTGCATCCGCAGACTCCAAAAACATAATCACTGCGCTAAACATGAGGTTGACTCGCAACTGATATAGATTCTTTCACAGAAGGAAACGTATGATGAGGGGATTGATTGATGGTTCATTTTCTCAGGCCAATGTGGTCATCTTGTTGCCGACCGACCAAATGATTCATTCCTCAGCATCGTTTGAGGATTAATGATTTTGTTCGCGATTCAGCTATTTTGATTCCCAAAATCTTTGTTCGCGGAAGAGAAAAGATGAACGAATACAGAAATGTTACCTCCAATACGGTGACCAGTCCATTTTGTTTATCAGGGAATTGCGTTGACCCGAACGTCCAATCGTCACTCTACTCGGGGCCCGGAACTCGCGGAACCCCGGGACCCGGGGCCCGCACGGCCTGAGTCACCGGCGTTTCACTGCCACACCACACGAGCACTGGCAACGAAGAAACGGCACGGCATGGATTTCTTGTGAGGGTCTTCAGTTACATTCAAAGAGTGAAATTGACCACTCGTGTGCCCTTGCTGGATCGCTCCCGTCAACCCCCGGAGACCGAAACCCACCCCCATTCTACATGCAGCCAGCCGGCGTCCCATCCGAATATGGAAGAGACTGGAGACGAAGGCGAGCCTTCAGCGGTGACGTCGACGTCTACACCACCTGCATTCCAACGATCTGTTAGTTACTCTTCAGAGCTGCACGAGAAGTTCGCGGTGTTCGCCTTGGTTAACCTATTGGCAGTGCGATACTTGCCGCGCTCGTAAGGTATGCCATTGAACTTTCGCGGGACATGGTTGCATCGAGCACCATGTTCCCCATAGGCTCTAGACCGGCCATCACCGATCCACAACGGTCTAATGTCTTATGGTAGATTCGCTGCGATAGAGAGCAGCCTTGTAGCCATTGCGCCGGCAGCAACACTCAGTGTACTTATACGGACAAACTAAAGCCACGCGAGAAGAAAACCCGGATTCTATTGACTTCACAGTAGTAAGACCTTTTCAGAACTATTCACAGACTTAAGAGCGAGCTGACACGACTACTGTCAACGTTCTTAGCGAGAAGAAAATTGACCAAATTGACCGTCGACTGGAACAGGTTGTTGGCTTGCTTCAGAAGCTTCCACTCAATGCGGAACCGACCTCCAATGCATCCCTTCAGTCTCCAAGTGGTAGCCAGGGGACTCTGACGACTGATCCTGGGCTTGCGGCATCGTCGGTGGTGGAGGGAGAATCATCGTTGGCTGCTCAGTTCACCTTCGCCGATGACTTCATACAGAAGGTTGCTCGTGGTGATTCCCCATCATGTACCAATCCTGGCGGAGCGCTGCAACAAAACCTCCAAGTACTCTCTCAGATTGTTTCTTCCTACAAACAACTTGCTGTAACAGACGAAATCGTTTACCCCCACGCCAGACTCGTTCACCGGCCAAGCTTTTACGGATGCGAGTTGCCACCTATACAAGAGACTGTTAAAGTCATTCGCGTTGCCGATTGTGAGTTCCTGCTTCGAGATGACCCCCTATTCCATGGTGAAATTTGATACTTACAATGACTCGAATAGCACAACGACTCGCTGGAACAGGCTGGATATACGACTACCTCCCAATGCACACGTTTTCAAATACGTGCCTAGAAGTCTACTTTTCAGAACAGTATTCTGAAGCAGACTTCATCATCGTCACCGCCGGCCTCCATTCCATTTTTAAGGACTACAGCAATATTGTATCGGGAGAGGAGAAGGAAAGGTGCCTCAAGTATTCTAATCTATGCCGCGCACACCTCGAAACCGCGCTCACCGGTCTGCCACTTCATCTCCCTGCAACCTCGAAGACAGTCATTGCTCTCATCTTTGGTGTATGCGATTTTCGTATCAATCGAAACACACTTTCGCTAACTATCTTACAGGCCTCTCACTCGATCGAGCTTTCGAAACCATTTCTGGCTTGGTCACTGTCCTCAAAGGCGTCGGAGCTGTGCCAATCGCTCGGCTACCATCGAGCTTCCCCCGCTAAAAAGGAAAGCGAAGAGGACGCAAAGTTGAAGAAGTTTCTCTTTTGGAGCACCTACTTCTTTGACAAAAGCTTGTCGCTCCGCCTCGGGCGCGCGTCCACGATTCCTGAATGGACCATCACGACTAGCAGGCCGTCCATCAACGACCATCATCAGCAGCCGGCACTGGCTTACTGGGTGTTGTGGGTCGAGACGGCCCGTTGCCAAGGGAATATCTACGAGCTGCTCTACAGCCCGGACTCTGTCACTCAACCTGATGCTGTTCGACAGTCTCGGGTCCAGAGTCTCGTGTCTGATATGCAAAAATTAGAGGAAGCGACCCGGGAGACCAATGTGAGTAACAGACAGGCCAAGGCTGTTTTGTTGCTAACGTTACCACAGAGAAGATGGTTACAAGAGTCAAAAGACAAGTCGGGAGAAGATCTGATGGACTTTTATGCCTTGTCAGATGAGACGTTGCGTCTGTCTTTGCTCACACTGGTCCATCGAGCCGCGCCACGACCTCCAGGCTCGACGACAACTTTCAGCCTCGACTGCGTCATTGCCGCTCGATCTGCGCTAGAGAAACACAGAGACTGCGTGGGCATCATCAAAAAGAGCGGCAACGATAACATCTTTTTCCCACTCCACTTTCAGTGGTATGTAAACACTCCTTTGCATGCTTATTCGTCCAAATCTTCACCTGAAAACAGACAAATGCTGAACGCGATAGGTCCATCCTATACGCCCCCTTCGTACCGTTCATTGTCATGTTCTGTCACGTCATAGAGACGCAAGATAGGGCGGATCTTGGCCGTCTGGGGGAATTCTCCGACTCCATCCAAGCCGCCGCCCAAGTTTCCGAGGCGGCGTTCAAGGCCTACCACCTGTTCCACACGCTCCACGGCATCGCGGCCCGCTATGTCGAGCTTTGCGCGGCAAGCGTACAGGAGGGCCACGGTAAGGCCGGTCCCGAGATGGACTGGTTCTTGGAGGCCTTGGGTATCGCGCCGCCTGGGCAGGAGAATGGCGACCAGCAACGACCAGCCAGCGACATGCCGTGGTTTGGCACTGGGATGGTTGACATTGCGGAAGCTGAAGGGGCGAGAGACAACGGTGTAACACAACGTAGATCTTCTGCAACACAGCCCTTGGCGCGTGTGGGAAACGAAGTTGAACTGGAGTCTTGGTTTCAGAATAACGAGGCTGTGATGGACTTTCTGCGAGACACGGATTTCAGTTTTGGGAGTAATTCTTAGAAGATTCAAACAACGCTTTTTGCTTCGAATCCCATCATCCCAGACGACATGAGCCCCGTTCATCGAGGCATGAATAACCACCTCCAGGACTATATTCAGAGTCACGGGCCAGGAACTGTCTCGGCGCCATCTTTGAGGATGGCTGTTGGTCATTTATCTCAGATGATTGTGGAAATGATGAGAAACGTACTCCAGGTCAACGCAGACATCAGTTTCCTCTGAGAGTGCAGTCATGTGCCGGATGGGTCTTTGCGAAATGAACTCACTGTCATGAGAACATGAGATTCTATCATTGCACCAGTATCCGCGCTTAACGGCGTCATGTTCAACGTCATGTTGCCATGCTCTTTGAGCACCATCAAGATCTTGATTAGCAAGAGAATCCTACAATAAATACAAGATAATCTATCAGATAAGATATTTTCTTTCCATATTTTAGGAAAAGGGGGCTGTCTAACGTGAGCATCAGATAGGGTGCGTATCTAACAAAACAGAGGAAACGAAAGACGCAACTTCTACACAATGCTTAAGAACACCACTCAGACCCCAAGCTTATAACCTCCAGGGCAGAGCCGCTGGAACGTCTTCTCCGCATCATACTTGTCAGACACAGCTATCAGTTTCTGAAAATTGTCCTCCCCATAGCTCCTGATGACATCGACATTTTGCGCAGCGTTGTTTATCCACAGGTTCGGCATCAGAGCATCTCGCTTGCGAGCCATCTCCGTCATCTTGGCCATGAAATCTTCATCCATCTGAAGAGCAGCTGCATCGTCGGCAGGATTGTCCCAGTTGGATCTGAAGTTGAGGGCTATGTGCGGCCAGTGAGTCAGTAGAGGCTTCGCAGGACTCAGGTTCTAAGGTGAAGACATGATCTCACAATTTTGGTTGATATCCTGCCAGCCGCCTGGGTTGCCACCTTTTCTGTTCGATTCGCGGATGGTGTACGGAGTGATGGGGTTCCAAGACATGGCGATGGTGTGTCCCTCCAACGTGGAGGACTCATAGTGGGCGAAAAGTAACGCGGAAATCTCCTTGTACAATTCCTTGTCTGCCTTGATGTTGATGTTTGCTCGGTTGATACTGCGATATCACGATTGATTAGCGTGTATAACTGGCAAAATCTAAATTGATTTGCTAACCGTGCCGTGTAAACACCCATGAACTCCGGGGTAATGTTCTGCGATGCCAATGCCGTGAGTGTCATACGGGACATGTTCGTCGCGACCGGTCCAATATCCAACAGAGGCTTTATGGCGGGCGGATAGTCACCAGTGAAGTCGAGCTTGTCCGTAAAGGGAATGAGGTCGATGATGGAGAGGTTGATCGCAGGTATGATCATCTCCATGCAAGTGACCATGAGGTGTGGATCCTCGAGGAGAGGCCCAGTCTGCATGTCATAGAAAGCTCCAAGGGCAGCGGTCCCCTGACTCGGGTTGTATGAAAGCGGTCCGTGAAATACGCCGTTCGGGAGAGGGAAAGTGTTCATGTCGAAACGCGTGACGATGCCAAAGTTGTTAGAGCCCCCCTTGAGAGCCCACCAGAGATCTGCATTCTCTGTGGCGTTGGCGTTGACGATGTTTCCACCGGCGAGAACGACCTCGAAATTGGTTACGTCGGCGCTGGACCAACCACGGCTGCCGAGGAAGTAGGACAGACCATCTGGAAAAGTTGGTCAGAGATCTTCTCCTCTTGATTCTCAAAATCTCATTCGAAGCAAGCAGACAAAACGAAAAGAGGAAGACTTCAGGCAAGTGGGCAAGGGGATACGTACTTCCAGTTAAGAGACCAGCTATGCCAACGACAGCCATTTCTCCTCCAGTGACTGCGAGGCCTTGACTTTCGAGAGTTTCATAGACTCGGCCCCAGTGGTTGCCAGGGCCCAGACTGACGACTTCACCTGACGAGCTGAGTATCAAGTCATTCATCTTCTCCAAGGCAATGAGCACGCCGTCCTCAATACCAGCCATTCCAGGGTGAGTGGTGAATCCGAGACCACGGATAGCAAATTTCCTCTGGAAAAATTCCAAGATCTTCACGCAGGAGGCTACTTGCTCCGTGCTCTCCGGGGTGAAGACTGCGGATGCGTTCAGGCGCGGCCGGGAACCACTGTTGAAAGTCAGCAAAGCAATGGGAGATGTTTGGAGACCGAGTGATGGTAATGATAATGACCGCGTGAGACTAACAAATACTTGTTGATCCAGGAAGAGTAACCGGCAGTCTCAGGCAAAAAGACGTTCGCCGGGTACAGGGCACCCAGCAGCTCTTCCGTGTAATTCTGGCTTGCCTGGACACGCTGATGGATATCTGATACCTGATCTTGCATCAGCCCCAGGGTGAGCATGAAGCTCGTGATCTTCTCTTTGTCCATGGTTATTGCAATTTAGAGTTCAGAACGAGGAACTTGAAGTTAAGGATAGAGTGATACGTTGCAATTGGCAAGTGAGTTGACAGCGGCAAAACCAAGTCGTGTAGCCAGGCGGACGAGAAAAGATCAAAACTTGATATTATCAACAAGCGGCTTATATGTCTTCAACTTAGCGACCGTATATTGATCTCGACAAAATATATCTGATGCTTTCTTCTGCTCCGGGGTTCCGTGAAATCCGGGGCCCGAGTCTTGCACCGTGCTTCGGGCCCGGGCGCTCGGTTAACCGGGGCGCCGCCGTGGGGCCGGACGGTTAATAATGAGTCACTCGGCGAGTCCATTCAAAAAGATTCCACTCTATGACAAGTCAGGAGTATTGGTATACTTAGTGATAGCCTGCAAGAGGTAGAGAGAGAGAAAAAAGCACTCACTTTCATGAACTCCTGTAAGTATGATAAAAGAAAACTCAGTTGCGCAAATATTTTTAGATTATGGATGCCCATGTGGTAAAAAATTCAGCTGGACCTTCCAAAATGATCGTGAAAGAGGCCAAAGATGGACTATAGCAATAATGTGAGGGTGCCAGGAGTCTCTTACATACTTTCACAAGGGTCCAATTTGGTTCATAGTAATTCAGAAGAATCTTGAGAATTTTCTGAAGTCTACGAAGAGTCCTGTATAAGTGATCCTGAAATACAAACAGCGAGACAGAATCTGCAGCGGCTGGCTTTAGATAGCAGTTTTTGTTGAAGTGTAATAACGGAAACAATAGTCTGTGTGAATTTGTGTGACAGCTTTACTCAAGAGTCATGGAAACCCGAGGATTGGGCTAAGCGTATAGTAGTCACTAGTCAGGCACTGCACCTATCTAATAGCCACCTGGTCAGCATGACTGAGCTCTCTTACCAGAGTTGTAAGGTTGTGGGTTCGGCAAATCTGGCATCCTTAAATCCACCATCTCCGTTTCCACGCACTCACACGCAGGCGTAGCCCAAATCATCCTCCCCAGAACACGGCCGCCGTTCTCGAGCACCGCCATCCCATTCTTAAGTGCCATTTGATATTGCAGCCCAGGTATCCTCCACGCTCGCGCGAGCCGAACCTCGTTCGCGGGCGCGAAGAGTCCCGCGCGGAACAGAGACGTCTTGTGGCAGTGTGTGCAAGTCACGGACACGATCTTCGAGTGTGGCTTATTGTGGACCGTGCCGGCATGCGCGAACATGAGTCCGAGCCGGTTCTGCACCACTCCGTCTACGATGCCAGTGAGGTGAAGAGCGTCGGCGAGCCACATGATTGCGTCTGTTCCTCCGAGGCCGAGGGTTTCCACCCGCCAGTCTGGACGCCATTCGCTGCGGGTATACTGGCTCATGAGCATGCTCTCAAGGTCTCGAGCGGTACCTTGGTTATCGATATGCTGCATGATGCTGTTCGTGTCTTCACCGAAGAGCCTGGTTCCGAGGGTGGCCACGAAGTCGTTCAGGTTGGGGCCCGTCTGCGCCAAGGTCATTTCAGCGCAAGCGGCAAACTGGTCGAGCGGAGAGTACCATGATGATTCGGAAAGCATACTGACGATGCCAATGGGCTGGAGCCTGGCCTGAATGGTATCCTCGTGAGAGCTGTCGATAGAGACCTTGGGTATATAGTCCGGAGGTGAGATGACCTCACCCATCCCCCATGTCCACACATCATTGTAGCATGTAAACAAGTTTGCCTCCTGAGGTGGATCAGGCATGGGGAGATTTGGTGTCATGAATAGGGGGCTGTAGTCTCCCGCGAGGAGGCAAAGCCAAGCGACATGAAGATACCCCCGGCGGAAGTTTGGCCCCGGAGGCTCCTCGTAGTCGCTCTGTGTAATGCCGCGGAGGCCATGCAAGAAGTCCATCTCATCACGGCAGCCCCGTTTCGACAACAGGGCAAATGCCATTGCGAAGTTTGTTCGATGGAGAGATCTGACTTGCTGTAACGGCCCCAGGTTCCACGGTACCAGGTTTTCCGACGTTCGCATCCCGACGCTGTCCTCCAAACCCCACACATCGCCGCCGTGAGCCTCGACCTCCTTTCCCCAGACTTGCTGAAGTTTTCTGAGAAACGCTGGGTCAGTCCCGTCGTCGCCTTGCACAATCTGGAAGTCGCTCGTCATCATCCGGACTGACCGGCTCCGCACGAACTCCATAGCGGTCCACATGCGCGTGAACCACTTCTCATTGCAAACTCCAGTCAAACCGCTCAGACGTTCATGAGAGGTCCTTCCACGATGTAGCTTGTCGACGACTGCCGGAGTGAGACCGTCAAAGTGGATGATGGTTGTATGGGCCTCTTCAAAGATTCTGTGAATGGCCAGGAGGATTCGACTTTTCAGCTGGTCCGTCCATTGAGGAACGCTGAAATAGTCGTGCCAGAGCTCTGAGTCTGGCGGGAACTGGGGGTCTTTCTCAATGTTGGTAAATATTCGGACCGGGTTTTCGATTGCGAGGTGCCTGACATGTTGAGTCTGGGGTGAGAAGCGGTGTTGCTGCTGAATGGCCGAGATCTGGGGGTCCCAGACGTGAGACACCGTGATCATGGGAACACCTGCGTTCAGGAGACAGTGAAGGTGCCTATCGAACAGCAATATTTCCACGCCGAGATGCGATTCGACGACTCTGCTACATCGCGGAGATACGTCTCGGTCACTGGTGATCGCCGACACGTTGAAGGTCCGTACAAGGGCATCTTGGAGGAAAGACTCGCCGCACACGAGGCATCGCAGCTTCTCGGGTTCCGCCTCATACCAAAATGTTTGTAAGTCTGGAGCTACACCCATATTGCGTGCTTTGTTTCTCGTCTGCAATCCGTATTCCCGAGCGACTCTCCGCACAACTTGAGCCAAAGAAGGCTGCGACATTGTGGGCCCAATGGTGGAGGTGAGATACTGTTTCCGAAGTTAGCACCGGACGACTATTAGAGATTTCTGTTTTCTTTAGTACAAAGGGGTTATTGAGTAGTAGAACGCCAAGCCAAGCATTCAAAATACGAAACTTCCAAAGAGGGAATGGATGATGTCAGACTGCTGCTCATAATGTCTGCTTACTTGATGTTGATACGTTGATCCTACCCTCCATACCTTAGCTCCCATCTAAATGTCAACGAAGTCAGCATGGTTTCCCCTTCAATTGAGATTCCTCAAGTCCACAGTCGGAGGCGTTCGTGATTAAAATGTAATAGCAAAGAGGGATATTTCTCGCACTTTGACAGACTCAAACATTTGAAGGCAAGATTACAGACACATATTCAAGGCCAGCAGTTTGTGGAAAATTCCCTAGCAGGATTTTGTATTGAAATATCTCTATACATAGGAAAAAGGAGTAAGGAAACGCTTGAAAAAACAGGGTTTTGGTATCTTGATCATCATGAAGCCAAATACGTCCGCGCCGACGCATAATGGCTTTTCAATCCTGTAGAATATGCAACCGAAAGCACGTCCGAAGCCGACGCGCGGTGGTTGATAAGTCCTCATATCTCATGCACATACGTCTGTGTCACCGACGCATTTATGCTGAGCTCCATCATCGGAGCACCCCTACACATTCACACTCACACGAAGCCCCTTTTTAAGCAGAGGTGGAGGTAGCAGCAGGAGGAGCTCCGGAGCCGCTAGGGAAACCGGCGCCGCTGGGGGCGCCGCTGGGGGCATCGCCGCCGACACCGCCGGAGCCGGAGTTCTCGACGGCGACGCCGCCGGAGGAGGTGTACTCGAAGCTGTAGCTGGTGTCGTAGCTGGCGGTGCGGTTGATGCCGATGGTGATCCAGCCGAAGATGCCCTCAGCGACGTCGTCACCGAGGTAGGCGTACTGGAAGAAGGGGTCGGAGTCGGCGTTACTGCCGAGCTCGTCGCCGACGACGTGGTCGTCGCTGTTGAGGGTGATGTCGACGGTGTTAGTGTTGTAGGGGGCGAGGGCCTCGACGGCCTCGACGAGGTCCTGGTCCCAGAAGAGCTGGCCGATGTGGGCGGCGTGGCTGGAGGAGAGGGTGTTGTTGGGCAGGACGGTGGCGTCGAGGAAGGCGACCATGTGGTGGTGGGTGGCGCGGCCGGAGTAGTGGCCCGGGAAGATGGTGGTGAACTGGACGACGCCGTCGTTGTCGGTCTTCTGGACGCCGCGGAGGGCCGTCTTGTTGAGGTTGGAGGCGTCGTCACCGTTGCCGTTGGAGCTCTCCTGGACGCCCGAGTAGATACCCGTGGCGTTGCAATTCCACAGATCCCAGTAGAGGTCGGTAATGGGCTCGCAGGTCTCGACGTCGATGAACTGGCCGTCGAGGACGACGTCGACGCCGGGCTCGCCGTCGCGGAGGTCGGAGCGGATGTGCTCGCCCTTGACCCAGAAGGGGCCGATCTCGCCCTCCGGGTTGAGGATGCAGGTGTGGTTGGAGCCGAAGATGTCGGTGGACGGGGTGGACGTGTCGATGCCGACGTGGAGCGAGGTCTGGTTGTGTCCCGTGCCGGCGGAGTCGACGTCGCGCTTGGCCTTGCGGATGGCGCGGTGGTAGTCGATTGTCTGGGCACGGCGGACCATGGCGCGGGCCTGGAGGTCGCGGTAGGCCTTGGTGTTGACGCAGTTCTCGAGGCCGCGGCGGGCGAGGCCGTGGTGCTCGTGGCGGGCGGCGAGGAGCGCCGGGTGGGACTCCTCGTGGTGGCCCGGGTGGGCGGCGCCGAGCATGACCGAAGTCAGGAGGAGGAGGACGGAGGAGTGCATGTTGTTGGAAAGAGTGGTGAAGATGTTGTTTCTTGGTGTTTTTGTAAAGATTGTGGGAGAGTGTTCTGTTGAATGAGAGTTTTTGCTAGGCTGAGGTCTTGCTGATCCAGGCTGGCTTGGTGATCTCTCCTTTCAAGATTCCTTTCGAGGCTGGAATTATCATCTTCTTATAAGTGATTCTTTTGGCCCTTTCCATCTTCATCATCGGAGCCTCCGCTCTCCTATCCATTCACCCCTTTCCTCCTCCATCACGAAAGGGGAAAAAAAACTCCC